AGCGCCGCTGCAGATGCCGTATTCACATCGCTCCCACATCGAAGTACTCACACTCACGCTGCCGTGCGATCGGAGGATGTGGCCACATCGCTCGCACGTTCCGTCGATTCACGCCACTAGATTCGCTTCTCGCCAATTGAAATTGCGCCTTGACATCGCTGCAAAGCAAACAGATGCCCACCGCTGGAGACTCTCTAAATCCTCAGCAGCGCCGATCGCAGAGCCCTGATGTAAATTTAAATAACAAAAATATCCCTAGAAACGTCTAACGCAACAGCGACAGTGGAGCGTTGCAGCGCGTGTTGTGTTCTTGTGGTGTGTGTTGTGTTGTGTTCTTGTGTTGTGTTCTTGTGTTGTGTGTTGTGTTCTTGTGTTGTGTTCTTGTGGTGTGTGTTGTGTTGTGGTTCGTTCTTTTGTTGTGTTGTCTTCTTGTGTTGTTGTTGTGTTCATGTGCGAAACGGCGCTCTTGCACGAGGGGAGACAGGGAGGTCGCGAATGAGACGGCGCGCCTTGAGGACTTTGCGGCCGCGGCTTCTCAAGGAGCCGCGGCAACGGCCGCTGTGTGCAGGGTACTAACTCGGGGCAGAGTTCGCGTGCTGGTGCCACTGCAGATTGCATTCTCACCGATCTTAGACGAAAGTCCACGTGGTGGCAGATGTCAGAGTCACCACGGGCGACTCCACAGAGCCGCACCACCGTAGGAGTCACTGCTCCTGTGTGTCTGTGTGTGCGCATGGAGGGGAGGGGAAGGGGGGAGGGCATGCCCCCTTCTTCCCCTTCAACACCCCCTAAACAGTAATTAATATTTTATTTAAGAGATATATTTTGAAAAGGCACGTCATACCCAGCTTTAAACTCCCGATCTGAGCATTTGTGTTGATTAGGTGCTGTGAGGGTGTTTTCGAGTTTCTCATGGACATATCAACCTCTGTGATTTTCAATATTTTGATCCCACTGTGCTTTCAATCGCTGCCCTAGATGTGCAGCGCAACACCAACGCGTGTTGCAGTCGTGCCTCTCGGGACAGACACCTCCCGCTAGTATCTGACGAACCTGCAGCACGTGACCCTCTGCTAGGCTCGTATTTATCTTGGGACGCGACTTTGTATTCCGCTCTTGAATTAAATTATTTCTTGCATTGGTCGTTAGAGTGGCCATGCCATCGGTAGAAGCAGCGATGGGTTATGTTTTGCTGTCCCATTCACGTTAATGCGGTTGTGCGTTTCTCAAATCTAGGTCTGTAAAATGTCTTCGAATGTTATTGTGATGAAACGGGATGTCCATGTGTGACTCCCCTTAAATATACACTAATTCAACACATTCGTTAATAACACGGTGTGGCTTTAAAAGAAACCCGGGCAAAAACCCTTCATAGCGCATTGAGCACCATGTAGAAAGGAGCATTACAAATGTAATGTATTATCGTACTGTAGCCATGTCCTTTGAAGAAGCACATGGCCTTCTAATAAGTGTTTCGTTATTTCCTTTATGCGGTCTCAGTGCAGCTGTTCTACTTTTGTAATTGGGTTTTATTCAAAATATGCGGTTTTTTTATTTCACGTTGGCCTTGGACCGTGAGCGCTGGCTGTGGCACAATCCCGGCTGGCCACACTGGTGGACTGAGGACTTGGTGTGGAGCGAGCGATTTATGTAGGACTGGACTTAATGGGAAGGCGTCGTATCGACACGCCCAAAAAATACGTTTCTAATCATCCAGATATTGTCCCCGCTATGACTCGTGGGTCGGGACACTGGCAAAAACAGCGGGATACAAAGCTGAAGATGGCGCAAAGACACGCGGGAGGGGATGAAGGTTTGGAGCATTGCACTGAGAGGCAGGAAGAGGAACGCATTTATCAGGAAGCATAGACGATGATGAAAAACAAGAATAGGCTTGAACCTTTCTGTCCATGAAACAGGAGGTGGCAAGATTTTCACACACCGAATAGAAACCTACCGCAAGACGTCAAGTCTGCATTACCCACGCGTGCTTGTGGTGAAACATGCAAATGAACAAGCTCCGATCATATACGGGCATTGTCTTTGAAACCGATTGTCCGACACCAGAGACAGCCTCCTCGATGGCCTTGTCTCACCAGTGTTTGACCAGAGAACGCCAACAGGCGCACAGCAGCAACGCTCCCATAGATACAAGCGTGCAATAGTGGGAGGCGTGATATCATAGACGGTGTGGAGAACTCTGGGCGGGATGGCACGCTGGCGGTCGTTGCTCGATACGAATGTTGTTCACGAATGTGGATCGTTGTTTCTTGAGCATATGCAAGGGTGCAGCCCTGCATGTGCACGCTGACACCGCTGTTTGCTGAAGGGCCTCCACTCGAGGGCCATTGGGACGACTCTTCCCACGTTTGTCCAGACGGGGTGAGACGAGTTCGGAGTGGCCACACTTCACCCCGCCACACACGACCTGCAGCCCGACTCGGGTCGCGTGCAGGAGCGAAATGTGTGCCGCCGCTTCGTGACCCTGATGGCAAGAGTTTGGGGGAATGATTCATCTAACAGTGGATCGACCATGGCATACGCTGCTGTTGCTGATGGTGATGCTGGAAAACAGCACAGTGGGTGGCTATGGATTGTTGGGTGGACGGGGGGGGGGGGGGGGGGGGCGGGGGGGGGCGGAGGGGGGTTATAATTTACGAAACTTGCCCAGATGTTTTCCAAGTCGTCTGCGGGTCCCGTGGAGTCGGGCGAGCTAAACATCGCGCCGCGGCAGGAGCAGCAGCGTCGCGCCACGCCATTAAGTATGCAGTTGCAAATCAGCTGCAATATTTACTGCAAATAAGATTACCGGGGGCCCTGACCCACCCAGGAACGAGTGCCATGAATCTGGCCTTACTTAGCCGCGACCGTAAAACCGTGCCAGCCGTGATGCAGCTAATTTGGTGCAGTAAACAAGTGGTGTCCACTCGGTTTGTAAATCTTTTGGACGGCGTGGTCGACCCCCAGCGCTGACCCTCTCACACTCCAGGGCTCGCTGCCGAGGCGCCGTTTGTTGATTAAATTAGATGGAGATGCAGTGGGGGTCAGGGGGGGGAGGTGCCCTTCTGGAGCGTGGTGGTGAATGTGCTCAGATGTTTTGCGAATGCTTCCGCCGCGTCCACTCTCAACTCTGTCATCTGCGTGCCCCCTCTCTCTCAGGGCGCTACCTTGTTAGCCCGAATGATGAACGGCCGCGATTGGAACTGAGGCTTCGTGGGAACTCGTCGAAGATGAGGAGGAGGGGAACACGCAGGGCGACAAATTTAATCCGCGAGAATATTTGATTCAGTTAACATTAGGAGACAAACTCCAGGCCATGCTGCGTTGTGAATACGCAAAACGAACGTGTCTAGTTGTTGTTGTTGTTATTATTGTTGTCATCGCAGAGAAATAAACTCAACATGTTGCACTCTGAGCAACGTGCTCGTGTTACAGATTACCTACGCAGATTTAACAACACAAAAATATGCAACTCTACGGTATACAGTACATTAATTATTAATCAGCACGCGACCTGCGTTTAATAAAGGGGCATTCCTTGCCGCTCACCTGCGCTGCGTCTTGCTCTAAGCGGCGTGCGTCTTGCTCTAAGCGGCGTGCGTATTGCTCTAAGCGACGTGCGTCTTGCTCTAAGCGGCGTGCGTCTTGCTCTAAGCGGCGTGCGTGCTGCTCTAAGCGGCGTGCGTCTTGCTCTAAGCGGCGCTGCGTCTTGCTCTAAGCGGCGTGCGTCTTGCTCTAAGCGGCGCTGCGTCTTGCTCTAAGCGGCGTGCGTCTTGCTCTAAGCGGCGTGCGTCTTGCTCTAAGCGGCGTGCGTCTTGCTCTAAGCGGCGTGCGTCTTGCTCTAAGCGGCGTGCGTGTTGCTCTAAGCGGCGTGCGTGCTGCTCTAAGCGGCACTGCGTCTTGCTCTAAGCGGCGTGCGTCTTGCTCTAAGCGGCGTGCGTCTTGCTGTAAGCGGCGTGCGTCTTGCTCTAAGCGGCGTGCGTGCTGCTCTAAGCGGCGTGCGTCTTGCTCTAAGCGGCGTGCGTGCCGCGGCCACCCCGATTGCCTCGCTCGTGCGGGTGGCCACGCATCGCTCCGTGGAGATCCCCGCACGAGGCCGTGAGCTGTGCCCGTCCCTGCTTAGCTCAATGGGCCTCACCGACGGAAGCAATACACCGTCTGGGTCTTAGCCTGCGAGTCTCTACGTAACGCTGTCGATGTCTGTGTTATTCCATGCGTATTTGTGTTGCTATATGCGTCTCTTTCTAGCTCTGTGCATCTCTGTGTAACTCTATGAATCTACGTGCAACCATATGTAACTATATGTAACTGTACCGCTCTCTATGTAACTCGATGCAACTGCAATGTGCCGTCGTGACTGCCGCCACTACGCAAAAGGTCTTGGGCTGTGTCCCTCCTCGTAAGAGAGCCGCTTTAGCTGAACATTGGGGCCTCGCCAGCCGAGACGATCCGACCTGAGCGAGTCGCGCGCACGCCGCTGGGGATGGATCGTGGCCTGGCGCTCGTGGTGGCGTCACTGCGTCTCGACCACCCCGCGCGCACGAAGCCTCCGCGCCACGACCCCTACACACGACGGCGCAACCAGTCGCGATTGAGCACGGACTCCCGCCACGATCTGCTTTAGTTGTTTTTAGTTCTTTGCACAGGCTCGCTATTTCTCTTTACACTTTCAATTAAGCGTAATTGCGTCAGCTGTTCTGTGCGTTCGTTCGTAACGGGGTGGGGTGGGGGGGGGGGGGGCACGTTGACTCTCGTAACGATGATCCCACACGGACCAAAAACCCTTCCCCGTCAGGTTTTGTCGCAGTTAGAGACGGCATCTATTGGAAGACGGGTGACTGTGGTGGAAGGGTTGCCCCCAAAAACCTTGAGATAAACACGTGCACTCAAAAGGACAAACGCATGTTTGGAAAGCGTCAAAGATTCCATGCATATGCACGATATCCCCCCTTTCCTTGTTTAAATGCTATTTGCCCTCTTTGTCCTCGTTTTGACCCCAGGAGCGAACCCAAAGAAAAATGCCGATGATTTAGCAGCTATTGATGGTGACGAAGATGAAGGTATTTTTTGGTGCTATGAGAGCATGATGCATGAAAACACAAGAGAGAGAAAAACAGAAAACAAATAAATATTTTTAAACATATGTTTTGCTCTAAATCTTCTTTTTTAAAAAACTAAATTCATGGTGTACTCTTTTCGTGCGCCAATCATTGCCCACAAACTTTCGAGCGTCCCATGTCAGCAAAGTGGCCGACGAGAAAAACCGGCGCAAATTCAACAAATCGTCAGTTTAAGACAAAATTACCAACATCTTTCCCTTTTCCGATCTTTTTTTTATATAAAGGGATACTGTATAACAATACAAATTTCACGATGTATATTAACAAACTATTTGGAATCTTTTCAATATATTATCAGATGAGCATCAAATGCACGCTTCTTGACGAATCTAGTGCACATTTGCAATATTAATTTTATACCTATACAGTATCTCTTGTGACTGTACTCGAGTGGCCTGGCATCGCTGCTATTGTTTGCATGCGATTAAACAATATCACCCCCCACCCGCCCGCCCCATCCGATCCCATGCAACTGAAAACAAAAACCTCATCGTTTGTTCCCTTAGCTCATTTCCATGACTCCGTTAATTCGATGTGAAACCCCCGTGTGACCACGAGCGGCGGAACGCAAATCCGGCGTGCGGACCTCATGCGCTCGCGCGCGCGTGTGTGTGTGCGCGCGTGTGTGCGTGTGCGCGCGTGTGCGCGTGTGTGTGTGTGTGTGCGCGCGTGTGTGCGTGTGCGCGCGTGTGCGCGCGTGTGCGCGCGTGTGTGCGTGTGCGCGCGTGTGCGTGCGCGTGTGTGCGCGCGTGTGTGCGTGCGCTAGTGCGCGTGTGTGTGTGTGCACCTGGCGTTTCAACGTGGGTCGTGTGTATTGTGGTCCGCGCGCGCCTCTCCGTACCCGTGCGAATTCTTCGCGTGTCCGGTGCGAATCGGCGCACGAGAACGTGCCCTTGAGCGATGCCTGAGTGCGCGCGTGCCGCCGTGTTCGATGGTCGTTTTCGTGGCGTGCTTTTTTGTTCGTTTGTTTTCCGCGCCGTTCGAGATGATCGCCTTGCTGCATTTTTGCTTCCTCCCTGCCCCCCGCCCCCCGCTTCGCCCGCGACAGACATCCGCAACTCGGGGCCCAAAGCGGTGCTGGTCTACGTGCACGGCGGCTCCTACATGGAGGGCACAGGCAACTTGCTGGACGGCAGCGTGCTGGCCAGCTACGGGAACGTTATCGTCATCACCGTCAACTATCGCCTCGGCGTTCTAGGTCAGTGCCACGCGGTCGGCAGCCGGCAGCAAGCCTGGCGGCTGGGGTGGACTTCGCCTCGCGGGCACTCAGCCCCGCACTCCGCCGGCCCAGAGAATACAATCGCACGGCGCGGTGACGGATGCCGCGCCGCTCTTTCAAGGTGGAGCGATGCGGGGGTGGGGTGGGGATGCGCGTGTGCGTCACGTTGCGTGTGTTGACCCGTAACGCCTCGGTGTTCCCCATCATCTCCTGCCGGAGAGACTTCACCACTTCACGTGACCTCAAGGTGTACCTAGCCTGGCACAAGCGCCGCGCTGACATCAATGTCAATGAATGGTGAATGGGTGGCTGCCATCGTTGTTTGTGATGTGTGTGTGATGTGTGTGTGTTGGGAAAAGTGCTGTTCGCGAGCCCCCTTCCACACTCCTCCACCGCACCCCATAGCATCACACTCTTTGTGGTGTGGTAAAGTAGTGGCCAGCACGCAGCGCTGCGGACGCGATAACTCCGAGTTCAATTCCTGCTCACAGCCAAAATCAGCGGCGAATATCTGAACCCGGTGCCGAGCCTCCGTTTGGTCGACTGAAGTCTTAAGCGGGTAGGTATCTGGTTTCACAAATGTCGTCACTGGGGAAACAAAGGTTGTCTCTGTGGATACTGGCCACATCACCCCGCTGTGCGCCGTGTCAGCCTGCATAGGCGCTCGTTAGCCGCATCCGCCCCAACCAACGTTGTCGCAGGCCACACGCAGAGAGATCGCTGCGCTTGAGACGGCAGCTTGGAGGCTTGGTCCCAAACACCGCGCGCCATGACAAGGCGTCGTCGGCAGCGACGCACCGCGTGGCGAGCTGCCAACTCCGAAACATTCCCAGGGCGGGCTGCGCGGGGCAATGTTCGATGAGTGGCGTTGTAAAGCGACTGCAGAGGACCTCGCAGTGAATTGCAGAGCACGGACGTCAACATTGACAGCATTACGCACACGCGGGCACTTCTGTTTCGAGTGCCCTATTGCGAAGGATGCACAAAAGGTCGTCTCTATTTACAGCAAACCACTCGTAACGTCATGTTGAAGCAGACAAAAAAAAAACACGCGTGCGTCAATCACAGAGCTGAAACCGTGGTGTCGTGGTTGGTTGCTGGTCGACAATAACTACATCTCTCCCGATATCGGTGATGCGAGTGAATCTACCAGAGGTCACCTCTGCCTTTGGTGATGCCGTGAATACTCAGGGACCCATTATGCAGTTGTTAGTACCTTTAGCCTCCGGCTGGTTTCATTATCTTTAGTGGTTGTACTGAAGCAATACCTTTGTAGGCCGGGAGGGTCCCGACGGTTTCAGAAAGGCTGTCCACGTGTTCTGAAGCATTTGCATAAAGTTGGGATTTTGTCCCAGTTTGTCCCAACATTTTCTGGCCTCATACGGGAAAAAGGCGAAGCAGTCTGAGCAGCGGGTGGGGCTACCATTCTTCGTGTGTGGGGCTCCCTGGGCAGTGGGTGGAGCTACCTGGACAGTGGGTGGAGCTAGCTAGGCAGTGGGTGGAGCTACCTGGACAGTGGGTGGAGCTAGCTTGGCAGTGGGTGGAGCTATCTAGGCAGTGGGTGGAGCTACCTGGACAGTGGGTGGGGCTATCTGGGCAGTGGGTGGAGCTATCTGGGCAGTGGGTGGAGCTATCTAGGCAGTGGGTGGACCTAGCTTGGCAGTGGGTGGAGCTACCTGCGTAGTAGGTGGAGCTACCTGGGCAGTGGGTGGGGCTATCTGGGCAGTGGGTGGAGCTACCTGAATAATGGGTTGGGCTTATGAGCAGTGGGTGGGGCCAGTGTAGGAACGAGCCAGTAAGGAGGCTGCTCACCTGTGAGGCCACTCACACCTCAGTACCTGTGATGCCACTCACACCTCAGTACCTGTGATGCCACTCACACCTCAGTACCTGTGATGCCACTCACACCTCAGTACCTGTGATGCCACTCACACCTCAGTACCTGTGATGCCACTCACACCTCAGTACCTGTGATGCCACTCACACCTCAGTACCTGTGATGCCACTCACACCTCAGTACCTGTGATGCCACTCACATCTCAGTACACAAAGTGTATTTAGTGAAATATCTCCGATGCGTCTTTTTGCCGCGCATTTTTCGGCACGACCTTCAGTGCATGAAGAGGCTCCCAGCACGTGGAGTGAAACGTCGGACATCATGCCGAAGAACACGCCAACTACACATTGCAGAGTTGTACTCATTCATTCCTATTTATTGCAGCAGCTCCCCGTTTCTGCATGCGCTACTTGACAACATGAGGCTGGGAGGCACCGTGGGCTGATGAACTACGATATATACAGACAGATATTTTCATGTATATATTTGCGTACACAATATATTTCATTCTGGGCCGAATGAAATTCCATTTCTTTTATTGTATAAAGATGAAAAAAGCATCGCTACGCTTGCTGAAGTATCTAGATAGACACCATAAATACTCTTGACCCAAACGTGCACTAAATCAGAAGAACAGCACGCAGAATAAACCAACACAACAATTTATACAAAGCCATCACTCCCTTGGTGTGCCACGTGTGACCCACTTCCTCGGTGAGTCACGACACCAAAACTCCCAGCGCTGACAGATTACCACCGCGTCCACCCCCTTGCTGCCTGCCTCCGTCTGCTTCTACTTATTATTCTGCGTACGGCTGTTGTTGATGTAGAAAAACAGCGATAACTTTACATCGAGGTGGTTGACGGGGCAGATGATTGCGGAGTCAGGAGTAGTGGAGTGGTGCGCCGTCGCCGCTGTGATGATGCCTCCTCCGTGTTTGTGAATCGGGCATCGAGTCCACGTGGTTCGGTCCCCGTGGTTCTCTTCTGGGTGGTGACCACAGTCGCACATGTCCAGAGTTTTGAATTTTCCATCGGTGCATCGGCATCTGCTGCTACTGCTGTCATGGTTGGTGCAGTCGATGCGGTTCGGGGGTTGACGTCCATGAGCTTCGGGGTAGAGATTGACGCCAGAGGATCACCTGCGTCACCGGGTCCCTCACGAGGAGGAGTTTGTTGTTTGTGGCTCCTTGTGCACTCCATTCGGTTTGCCAAGCGTCGTCATCATCATCGGGGTTGAGGTTGCATTGACAAAGGGCCAAGCACGTGCGTCCACGACGACTTCGTGCGGCATCGAGCGGTGGCGGTGAGGGACATTGTTGAGATCTCCTCGCCACGTTGTTGTTGTCGTCGTCGTTGTCGCACGAGAGCGGAGGAGCTCGCGTGCAAAGCCCTTGCTAGGGTATGGCGAATTGGGGGCGACCGCCCCGGGCCCAGCGTTCTTGCGGGGCCCCGCGCTTCGAAATCACGCTGTCAGATGGAATAGTTGAGGTTTAGTTTGAACTTGAGCTGCCCCTCCCACCGTGTTGGGATAGCCCTGGTCACGTGGCGCGTCTCGGCGACTCACTTGGCGCGGGCCGTGGGCGGAGCCGGAGGGGCTCGCCGCGGTGACGTCACCGTGCACGCTGCCTGCTCTCCTTCACTGGAGACGTCCACTGGACCCATCTGGTGTTTACGACTGCAGCCCCCGCCACGATAAATCACCGAGGCCCTCCGAGGTTTCGAAGGGTGAAGTCCATTCAGCGTTTCTCTCTCTTCTCCCTTCGCCCAGCCACACACCCGCCTAACCACCAGGCCAGGCAGCCACCAATACCCACCCACCTACCCACTCACCCATAGCCACCAATACCCACCCACCTACCCACCCACCCATAGCCACCAATACCCACCCACCTACCCACCCACCCATAGCCACCAATACCCACCCACCTACCCCTCCACCTACCCATTCTCCAATAGCCACCAATACCCACCCACCCACTCACTCACCCATAGCCACCAACACCCGCCAATAGTGACGCAACCACCAACGACAACACGGCACAGCTGCCTCTCGACTCATTCAGCCTTATCAGACACTAAGCCGTGAGATATTGTACTCGGCATCAGTGCATCAGCCCCGAGTTAAAGGAGATGAATGTTTCTCCCTTCGTCTGCGATCCCTTGTCATATCTGATTGTTCTCTAAGGCTCCGCACGGTCACAGAAGATGTCGCTTGACAGACGAGCGCTAATTCACGATAACGCTCTAAACACTCGGCTCAATCTGAGCGGCGCGCACTACTTCAAGGAGTTTTATTAAATTTCAACCTTTGTTCTTCCCGTAAGAGCGGGAAAAAAATAACGTGTCACGGTTGTCTATTGAACTACACATTCCGTTGATCTTTTTTGTTGTTGTTTAAATATTGCCCCCAAACGAATTGTGCATCGGCCGTTTACCCGCGATCACCCGAGAAGTAATTTCGTTCTGAAGTGAGCAGAGCAGCAGGCACGCTGGGCGACACGGCACATCACTGCGGTGGTTACTGTCGTGAGTTTTTTGTGTCTACTCATCTGCGGATATCCGCGTGTCTGTAGAGAGTTGTATTTGTCGACGACGGAGCCCACTGGCATGCCCCACCGCCCGTGTTCGCGTTCACGCGGCGAGGTGCGGAGCGCTCCGAGGTGGGGGGGGGGGCGCCGCTAGCATGTTTTCGATGAACGTGTTTGCTAATTATATTTATTTAATAACCCAATGAGCTTTTAGATTTTCGGCAGAGTAATTATTCTTAAATTCGCCACGGCGAGATCTCTTTCCGTATTTAGGCCGGTGAATAATTACGTGGAGAGAACGTTTTCGTTTACAACTGCTTGTTGTTCTATCTCGTTTGTTGTTCTCCCCCCGCACCTCCGACTATCACGGTTGGCTACGTACGGTGCGAAAGAAGTTCAACATACGTACTACATACATGGCCACTATTCCCACGCCTGAGACAAAGGCGTCCAACGGGGAGAAGGAGCGACGGAATCGGCTAAACGCGCTCACGCTCGGTAGATGACCACATCTGGGATGGTGAGAAGGGTGGCATGCATCCCTCCCTTCCATCACGCGTCTCAGTTTGATCCACGTTGTTATTGTCAATGACCGACATTTAGAAGCTTCA